CCCCAAAACCCCAAAACCCCAAAACCCCAAAACCCCAATCATAAAAATCATGCTGAAAGTTAACTATCATTGTGTAAGGCTGATCCTAGTTGGTCCTCTAACATCTGAACCAATTTCTGCTCCAAGGAGGTAGATAATTGATGCTTCTGGGCAAATTTCTTGCTTAGAAGAGGGATATTATCCCCATTATGCACAAGAATATGGTCTTTCAGATTCTCCCCGAAGTTGATGTCCACACTCAAAATCACTTTTCTCGCGACTGCTTGAGGAGGGCTTTTAGAGCCTTTCGAATGTCTTTTTGTTTTATATTTAGGTTTCATTCTAACTCCATGAGAAATCGAGTTTTGAAGATGATTTACTGATGCTCTTTTGCTTTGGAATTTTGATCTCTCACTAAGTATGTGAGTATATAATTTACCTGCTCTTGTTTCTAATATCAACCAGTTTACTCTCTTCATCTCCAAATTGCTCTCTAATTTTAACAGCTAAAGCTTCAGATCTTTTGCTGATTGCTGGCTTATCCCTAAAACTATTTGTAAAGGAATATACCTGAGATGGTCATCATGTGACTCTCTCCTTTTATACTTATCTCTGCTTTGAAATTTGTTAAAATCTGATCGATTTCTAGCTAGATTCAGAAATTTATGATGAATTCTCTTTATTTCCTTCTTTGAGAGACATTCACCTGCCCTGAAAGGAGCCTCTGGGAGATCACAAATGCTAAAATTGTCATCTAAATCTCTGTTTCTCTGCTTTTGGGGAACATTTGAAATCCCTTGAATCTGAAAAATTATTGAGAAGCTTACAAATGAATACAAGTTTAGTAAACTTTCATTCTTTTGAATTCCCTTAAAGTCATATCCTTGGATAGCTAATGTATACTGTAATAGCTTTTCTTTCTTCACAGTTGTCTCATCACTATGGTTCATTTCTTCTCAAAAATGCATAAAAGATTGTCTGTCTGAGTTAACTTCAGAGTTTGAATATTTTTGGACGGACCTAATAAACCCAAGCATTTGCATGATCTGATACGCTTTCTCTAAGCTGATTTCTCCTTTCTCATCTCGATCATTAGAAGTAAAAGCCTCGTTGAAATCTTTTAGGAACTGTCCAACCAAATACTGAGAAGATTTCTTAGTTGTAAAAGTATTCTTTGGGGAGATTTTAAATTTCAACCTCTCTTTTGATTTATTTTCGGGAGATTGCATCCTCATATAGTCTCTGACTTGTCTTGAGAGTTATTTTGCTATTTCAACGACTTTTGCTCAAATTTGGATGATTTATAGAGCCATCAAATTTAATCTTCCTACTATTTTTATTTTTATTCGTCTTAATACATCTGATACCAGGTGATTCTGACCCCATTTTGATAGATGAAACTCTTGATGTCTTTAACTTTCAATGGAGTTCATCCTTCCCAGAGACATTAGACCCTCTTCTTGAATAAATTAGGCTTTTCTGTTGTATACTTTGATATAAATTATTTAGGATATTTTTTCTAACTTTTCTCTCACTGTTTTCATTGTATAATCGCTCGTGAACCTTAGAATTATTTTGAGATCCTGCTCTTGTTTGGGTATGATAAATCTAAAAAATTAGAATTTATTTTAGTGCTCTAATAATCAAATTGAGACAAATGAAGTTGCTAGGAATTAATCAGAGTTCATGAATAAAGCATGGCTATTCCAGATTGCTAATTATCTATTCTTGCAGGATATCTTTCAGATCTAGTTACGAATTAATTATACATAATGTGTCAGTACCAGATTGGGTAATATCTCTTAAAGACTTATTGGCTTTAAGATGGGGTTTAGCCTTCAGGTGAATGTGCTCCAGCTGCTTCTCTTTGTGAATCAACTTCTGATAAATCTTGGAGTACTTATTTTCTACATAATTCATCTGCTTCTTGTAAAACTCTATGCAAGATAATATAGTAAGGTACCTTTCTGAATTTTATTTTAGTTTTGATCACTTCACTACTTTCTTCACAGGTTGAGGAGGAGAACTATCATCTTTATCCTTAGGAACGAGCTATGATACATTACTAATCAAACTTACAGAGACATCTTGTGCAGGAGGAATTCAGTCCATATTTTGGTTTGGGGGTTAACAAATTAGTCTTTATTTCAGAAACTAATGCGTCAAATTCCAGGCTGTTTCTCTTTTGTGATATTTTCATTGTCGTTTAAATTTTAACAATCAACTTTTATTCAATAAATTACAAGATAATTGGGGTTTTGGGGTTTTGGGGTTTTGGGGTTTTGGGGTTTTGGGG